CAGAGAAGTCAGGATCAAACAGCCTTTTTACACAGTGCAGAAGATTAACCCCTTAGGTTCCTCAGTGAGTATACCAAGCATGCTTTACTACATATACAGACTGATTTTACTGTTGAGGGTTTAGTAACACTTTAAGGCTCTAGTCACTGAGGTGAGCGCTAACACTGGTCTGCAGGAGCTGCCAGCGGATGTGTAAACATCCTCCTATCAAGGACATCTTTGAAAGACACTGCAGCGTCCATTGGCAGTGTCACGTGTCAGACCAGCCTAATGACTGCCACATCCATTAAAGATGGTGCTTCTAGTGAGCGCACTTCCTCCCCTTTAAATGGGTACATTTTAAAGAATCTGTTAGATAGTGAAGGCTTCCTGTCTACCTTCTTCCACTCCTCATAGATGAGGTCTCTCACTTCTTCTATCAAGGGAAGGGAAAGTACTGGCTTTTTTAGCTGTGGATAATACTTTCTGGCTTTAGATGGTTTCACCACCTCTTCTTCCCCAATGAATGCGTCTCTGACTGCTCTTACTAGAGGTTGCACTAAAGCAAAATCGAACCCAAGTATCAGTTCATCCTCTGCTGAGGAGTCCTATCCTGAAAAAGATGCTGGAGAAAGTTCCCTTAGGGGATTTTTTTTTGGGCCAGAGGTGTACCTGTAACAGAAGTTACTCCTTGGCTGAGTTTAGATAACTCCTGTAGGGTTCCTTGATGGTCTATCTGATCAATGAGGCTGCGTCAGATTTCACAGCTTCTTTGCCCATCCCTGCTTCCAGCAAGCATGCCTGGCATAGCATTTTCCCTGGAAGTACTGCCTGTCCGCATCCCAGACTGATCATCCTTGAGATTCTTCATGCTGTGCAGACTCCACTCTGTGTCAGCCCTCCTGGCGGGCTTCGGAGTTGGCTGCTAACTTCTCTGGGCTTGAACCTGGACCAGGATAGAAAGTAACATTGCTTCTGGAGGAGCGATGCTAATGATAAGGGCTGCAAAAATGTAAAATTGATTAGCCATGCACTCTTTTTTGAAAGAAATGATATATATACACACCTGGCCCTCACCTTAGGCTATGTGGCTTGCCTCTGGGAGAGCTCATCACTGAACCTTAAGGGAAGCTACAAAATAACTGAGCTACTGTGGGACACAAATTTAGACAAACAGCAGACTAAGGACCTTTCTACCTGCAAACAGCTGAATCCCAAATGACACTGACAGGTCCCCATCTAAACAGAATTAAGGGAATGATAGGTATAAGTACTATCATAAGCCATAAGCATCACAGGCATAACCAGGACTGGCCGCAGTGCACCTTGCACTATGTGCCTCCATGCTTCCTTCTGTGCACCCATGCCTCACAGTTTAGCTACTGGACTGGAGGATCTATGTCTCTCCCTTCAGAGGAGTTACCACAGCGTAAACCGCTGGGATTCCGGCCACCGTTTTCCAGCAAACCGTAAGTCAGCCCGGTGCGATGTTGCTACTCCCTAGTCAGCTGGAAGTTTGACAGGTGCCATCTAGGAGAAGGCAACCTGCCGCCCAGCCACCGGAAGTCACAGAGAAGCCATCATGGAAGAGGGCAGCCACCCCAAACTAAGTCACATGCAGAAGTACTGTGTGAAATTTAGCAAACAACAGTATGAGAATACTACCATAGGGTACAAGCCACAAAGTACCCTGCACAGGGACTGCAAAAGGTCATCACTAACCTGATGCTTGCCGATGGCTTCCTGAAGACCAGCATCCTAAACCATAGTACCTGGATATAGGGAGGCCTCTCTCTTATAGGAATTTTACAATCTGTACAGAAGGCGTTTAGGAGGCTAAACCTATGCAGATAGGCCAGATGAACCTGGCAAGGTGAGGGTAAAAATTCTTGCTTTAAACAGTTCCATAAGTGGTTGAGCAGTGAGGGGAAAAAAAGGAGAATGCCTCCTAGTACAAGGTGGCTCATTTATATAGTATTACCGGTCCTGGAACTGGGCAGAGGGGTGGAGCCTACCCATACATATATGCTGTCATGCTTGTGTCAGGAAAAGCCAGTTCTAAATGCCGTTTGTTGCACTTACATAGGTGACCGCCAATCTAGCATGGAATGGCAGCAGGACCACACAATTTCAACAATGTTTTGCATGACTGCATGTTATCAGGAGCTTCAATACAATGTGGATATTATTTTATTTGTATGGACGCTATTATTTTTTCACTCAGTTCATATAGTGATTTATGTATTTAATTTTAGCACAGCAATTATTATGCACTTGTTTCAAGGGGTGTACTGTATATCTTTACCTGTGGCATGCAGCTTTCTGTTGTTTTATTGGACAGAGCTGACTTTTAAACTTTCATGAGTTCACACTAGCCCACACACTGCAGGCTGATTGCCGCACCAACAACCACCCACACCCGCATCGCATTTCTCTTGCAAGACACGTGGGGGTGCCATTCATTCAGAATGTCACACCCATGCATCTCATTCCACAGCGTGATCACGGGTGTGGGAACTGCACGGAAACCATATGGTCAAAAAGAACATGTGGTTTCCCCGCAAATGCACTTTGGAAAAAGTGCATGCACCGTTTCCTTGCGTGAAATGCAGGCACAGCAGCCCATTTATTTGAATGGTCTGCTGTGCCTAAGCAAAAGTGGCCTCACAGCCTGCACTAGTGTGAACTGGGGCTGAAGGTTAAAACTTCAATAAGTTTCAGATAGCAAAGTGGGTCTTCAGTCTGAATATGAGACAGCTCACTGTTTCTTGCTGAAAATAAAACTGTCTTTAGATGGATCGTAATTTGGCTGGTTCAGCAGGGACCAGCTGAATTTTGATCCATCTATGGCCATTCCCATTCTTGAGAAGTTTATCTAGGTTCTCTGGAAAAAAAATGTAGTTCCATCAAAATACAATAACACATTGGGGAGGATTAATCCATGTACCTTGCCTGTTGGCTGATTTAAAAAAAAACTGACACATGTATGCCCATTTTAAGTGATACTTGGCTACTGACAAGTGGGATTGAGTCTTTAATGGAAATTTAGGTTAGATCATTGGTGTTTTTTTCCTGTTTTCTGACACAAGTTTACATTAATTAACTATTTTTTTTTCTAAATAATCTAAAGCAACTTAAAGCAATAGTAAACCCCAAGCCAAAAGTGCAATATATTGCAGCTTACCTATCACTAGATCTGGTGGCTGCATTCATTTTCTTTTGATAGGATTTTTTCCCTCTGTTTTCACTTGGTGATCTGGTCACTAACACACCTTCTGTATTTGAATGTCTCCATTCTGGATGAAGGTGCACAGAGGGCAGATTTGTACAGCAGCATCATCACTTTCAGGGGAGGAAAGTGTTAGATACACTAGCACAGAGCTTAAAATTTCAAGTCTAGACCTACTAGCCAGGCACAAACCTTACTCTCCACCAGTTGCCCCACCCAAACATGCCCAGGTCCATGAGATGCCCCTGGTACCTTTTTCATAGGTTTTTTTTTTGAGTTTGGGCAAGGACACAGGGGCCCCATGATCCCCTATTGCCCGGGGGCCCCATGAGTTGTCAGTCCGCCCCTGGATGTGCTAATAGAGCAGCCATGGTTTGTGTTGTACAGCAGGACCAAGACTTGTGTAATACCCTTTTGTGATGCAAAATACCACTTTAATGGCTGTGTGTGGATTGCATTCTATTCAATTAAGAATGTCTCCCAAGGAGGTGGAGAGCGGGCCTCTCCTCGTGTCCCCTGTGGTGGGGGAGAGCGGACCTCTCCTCCAGTTCCCCGTGGCGGTGGAGAGCGTGGAGCAGACCTCTCCTGCACCTGTCCCCTCAGCGGCACTGCCAGTGTAATGGCGGTGCCAAAGAAGCCGGAAACCGGAAGTTGGAAACCGGAACTCGGCTTCACAATGAGGCTTGGAGCGCAGATGCAAACTATCCATCATCTGTGCTCGCCACACAAGAATTTCTCCTCGCGAGCGAGCTGGCGAGCGGCTTTTTCAAATCCTGCACAAGCATATTTAAAGAGATTCTAAAGGTTCTTTTTTGTAAAATAACAGACATGTCTATACTTACCTGCTGTGTGCAGTGGTTTTGCACAGAGCAGCCTGGATCCTCCCCTTCTCGGGCCCCCCACAGGCTTTCCTGACTTCTCCTGTCTGTTGGGTGCCCCCACAGCAAGAAGCTTGCTATGTGGGCCCCCACTGCTCCATGTGTCCATTCACACATGGAGACGTGGCTTGGCCCACCTCCTCATTGGCTGACTGGCTGTGATGAGGAGGCAGAGACACGAAACACCCAAGGCTGTCATTCATATTGCTGGATCGCGATGAGGCTCAGGTAAGAATTGAGGGGGCTGGGGGAGCTGTAGCACACAGAAGGTTTTTTATCTTCATGCAAATAATGGATGAAGGTAAAAACCCTTGAGCCTTTAGAACCACTTTAAATAAAGAAATTGAAGCTAAACACCAGCTAACACTACAGTATACTGTATAGGCATTTACAGCAAACAGTTATTTCCTTTTTGAATAAAGGTACCGTATTTTTCGCTCCATAAGACGCACTTTTTCCCCCAAAAAAAGGGGGGAAAATGTCAGTGTGTCTTATGGAGCGAATATAAAGCGGCTGGTCCGGTATTTCTCCCGCCACCATGTCAGAATACCGGGCCAGCCGCTCAGCTGTTCTCTCCTGCAGGGCCTTACCTGTTCCTCGCTCCAGCGCTGCACAGTCTTCCCGCGCTGGCTTCTGACAGCCGGGTGCCCACTGCGCATGTGCTGCGCTTTGTGAATGATTCGGTGTCTTCTGGGACACATGACAGGTCCCAGAAAGCGCCGGGCCATTCACAAAGCGCAGCGCTCCTCGCACATGCGCAGTGGGCACCCGGCTGTCACAGAAGCCGGCCCGGGAAGAAGAGAGAAGGACAACTCTGCGGAAGTGGGAGCAGGTACCTGTCAAATTCAGGTACCCGCTCCCCCTCCCTCCCCAAAGGTCAGCAGTCTCTGGTCATTCCCTGCACTGTCTGCAGTCTCTGGTCATCCCCTGCACTGTCTGCAGTCTCTGGTCATCCCCTGCACTGTCTGCAGTCTCTGGTCATTCCCCTGCACTGTCTGCAGTCTCTGGTCATGCCCTGCACTGTCTACAGTCTCTGGTCATTCCCTGCACTGTGTCCGCAGTCTCTGGTCATTCCCTGCACTGTGTCTGCAGTCTCTGGTCATTCCCTGCACTGTCTGCAGTCTCTGGTCATTCCCTGCACTGTGTCCGCAGTCTCTGGTCATCCCCTGTACTGTCTGCAGTCTCTGGTCATCTCCTGTACTGTGTCCGCAGTCTCTGGTCATTCCCTGCACTGTGTCCGCAGTCTCTGGTCATGTCCTGCACTGTGTCCGCAGTCTCTGGTCATCTCCTGCACTGTGTCCGCAGTCTCTGGTCATCTCCTGCACTGTGTCCGCAGTCTCTGGTCATCTCCTGCACTGTGTCCGCAGTCTCTGGTCATCTCCTGCACTGTGTCCGCAGTCTCTGGTCATCCCCTGTACTGTGTCTGCAGTCCATTGGTTCAGAATATTTTTTTTTTCTTGTTTTCCTCCTCTAAAACCTAGGTGTGTCTTATGGTCAGGTGCGTCTTATGGAGCGAAAAATACGGTAAATAAAAGCTGGTAATTGTAAGCACCCCTGCCAATGTTACTGTAATTGGTTTTTCTCATCCCTGTAACTCATACAATTTGCAAGAGAGTTTGTTTTCTTTTTTTTAAAACAAAAACAACAGACTTACTGACTAGATCACCAGGTGAAAATATAAAAATGAGTACCTAAAAAATAAAACTAATGCAGCCATCATACCTAAGAATTGGTAAGCTGCAGTATAATAAATGTCTGCTTTTGGGTTTCATACCACTTTATGGAGGTTGTCATCTGTTCTTTGCTGAGCAAATTTCAAAACTTTAAAATGTAATACTTTACACATTTTTTTTAACGTTATTAGGGTTCCCCCTTTTTTTATTTTATGTTATTTTTCTTCATTTAATAGGTAATGCAAGTTTCTCCTATTTGGTTCCTGACAACTGCATTCTGCAATTACAATCAATCAAATGCCAGCACTCATCCTCCAGGAACTCTCCTCCCTATCATTTGACTTCATCACTTTCTGGCATTTCAGCACACAAATGTGTGTGTACACAGCCCAGTTAAAATGTGAAAATACCTTGCGTACAAACTATACAGTACATCACAGTCACAGAGTCTAAGAGGACCAAGGAACATTTATACATTGATTCAATACATGTTTGTATTTTTGGTTCTTTTTTGATTCAATAAATAATCAGTTCAATAATCTGCTACAAACGCCTATGAAATCATATTTGATTATGGAGACACTTACTGTAGGAATTGCCAAGTGTGAACTGACATGTTCTCTAAGGGCAAGACTGGCACTAGCTAGTGCAAACACTTTACAAGTTTTATTCATTCTTAGTGAAATTTGCTAATCTCAGTAAATGCTAATAACAGGTAAATCTACATTATGCAAAACACAAGTTATCATAAAATCTAAATTATTCGCAGCTATATCACATTGCAGATTTTCAAGGAATTCAATAGATTAAGTCAATTACCACTGACATATTACAGTGAACTATAGATGCTTCTTTGCATGTTTGTTGGTACGGTGTTTGTCCAGCCTATGGCCAGCAATGCATTTGATCATTCAATATTACAATTGCTTTAAAAAACCAATAAAACGATCTTGAGATTTAATTTGTACTGATAGAGTAATTTGCATAAATAAATGAATAAATAAATAAATCACGGCTTGAAAGCCTTAAAAAACACAAGGAAAAGTTGGTAATTATATTTACTATGCCCCTGCCATCTGCCTTGCAGTGTCTAGACAAAGTTGACATCAAGCTCCTTTTGGTAAGATCCCAGGGAATACTGATTATTCCAGGTCTCACAAAGAGATGCATTGTATTTTGGATAATCAGTATTCCCGGGATCTCTCTGAAAATGCTGTTAGATCACATCCTGCAGAAACCAGGGGTAAGGTAAGTATATTTTCTAACCTTTTCCCCCCACAGTTTCTTTACTTTTATGCCGCAATTTATTAAATTTGGATAGTGGACCTTGCCTGTTAGTGCAAGGTCCATTTTAATGTGCATTTTTTTTAAATAAAAAGGCAATTATTCATCTTGATAAAGAATCCAGTCAAATTTAACCAAATCAGTTTTTTTTTTTCATTTTTGTGTTCAATGATGTTTATCTAGGAAAATATTGCTTTAAAACAAGCAAGTCTGTAACCAACCAATTTAATGCTGTACATATGGCCATCATAAGCCTTACATACAGTTGTGCTCAAAGCTTTGCATAGCCTGGCAGAAATCGTGACATTCTGGCCTTTATATTGAAAATATAACTGATCATGGCAAAAAATTGTCTTTTTTTTTTTAAGGATAGTGATCATATGAAGCCATTTATTATCACAAGTTTTTTGGCTCCTTTTTAAACCATAATAACAGAAATCACCCAAATAGCCCTGATCAAAAGTTTACATACCATGGAATGTTTGTCCTTGGTACAGACACATGAGATGATACATAGACCTTAAAATTGCAATTAAAGGTTAATTTCCTACATCTGTGACATTTTAAATTGTGTCTACTGTTTGTGTATAACTAGTCAATGAGTTTGTTAGCTCTCACGTGGATGCACTGAGCAGGCTAGATACTGAGCTATGGTGAACAGAAAAGAACTGTGAAAAAAGACTTGCGTAACAAGGTAATGGAACTTTATAAAGATGGAAAAGGATATAAAAAAATATCCAAAGCCTTGAATATGCCAGTCGGTACTATTCAATCAGTGGAAAATGGCCTGGTCATGAAGTGGGGTAAATCTTCATCAAGTGGATATTGTGCTCCTTGAAACAACCACGATGTTTTTTTTCAGAGCAGCCTGTATTTCTCTTGAGGTTCAATGTAGGTTTTTCTTTGTATCCCAAACAATTCTTCTGGCAGTTGTGGCTGCAATCTTGGCTTGGCATCAAGAGATCCCTAAATTTTTCATTTCTTAATGAGTAATTGAACAGTACTGACTGGCACATTCAAGGTTGTGGATATCTTTTTATACTCTTTTGTATCTTTATAAAGTTCTTTTACCTTGTTACGCAAGTCTTTTGACAGATGTTTTCTGCTCCACATGGCCCAGTATCTAGCCTGCTCGGTGCATCCATGTGAGAGCTAACAAACTCACTGACACTAATTGCAATTTAAAAAGCCACAGATGTGGGAAATTAACCTTTAATTGCTATTTTAACCTGTGTGTGTTACCTCATGTGTCTGTACCAAGGCCACATATTCCAGGGTATGTAAACTTTTGATCAGGGCTATTTGGGTGATTTCTCTTATCATTATTGTTTAAAAAGGAGCCTAACTATGTGATAATAAATGGCTTCATATGTTCACTATCCTTAAAAAAAAGACAATTTTTCAGTCAGTTTTTCAGTTTTTTAAATTTTCAATATAAATGCCAAAATGTCACAATTACTGCCAGGCTATGCAAACATATGAGCACAACTCTATACTCATCTTCTTTTGGTGCTTGTAATCCTGAACATTTGATAAACCAGTTAGAGCAATCTTTCTGTTATTTTGCCATATCAGATTGGCTCGTCTATGCTATCCTTGTAAAATTATTGTAGTGTTGACTATACTTTAAGTGTTATGTTTTATGGCTCTAAAAGTGTGCATGAGCTTTTTTTTTTCAGATATACTATTATGAGCATAAGGGGACTTTTGCAAACATTTTAACTAACTGCTCTAAAGCCTAGGTTTCTTTGATTACAACAAAGTGGGATATTTTTCACATTTGGAGGCTGTTTCATTGAATGCACCCAGTACATACCCCCTTTCATCATCCCCACTTCATAGCATTTTCGGAGTCGGCAGGCTTGACAGCTCTTTCTCCTGTTTTTGTCGATGGTACACTGATTGGTTGCGGGGCACATGTAGTCATTATGGCCTGTAAAGAAAATAAGTGTCTTTGTAAAAATCGTCTGGAAAACAATTGAAGAGTATTAATGACCCTGATAACCTTTTGTCCTGGATAGGGTTTGATAGTGAAAGTTTTTTCTAAACATTCACTTGTACATATAAAAATGAAACGGCCAGTGGCAATTAAGTCTTGACAAAAAAAGTTAACATTTCTGCACTGACAACTATAAACCAAAATAAAATTCTTTTATTCTAAGAATACAAACTGTTTAAATTCACCATATGGCCTTAAAACAAAAAGATGGACTTTTTGAAAATCAGCTGGGGAGAAATGAAATGTTATTATGACCTTAATAACCTTAAAATTGTTTGGTTTTAGATGTTTTTCTAAGCATTGACTTCACACAGATATGTTTTACTTTTATTAGATTCACATGTTGTCAGGCATTATTAAAAAAAAAGAAAATCATTGAAAAGAAAAATTAGAAATGTATAGTGTTCTATTTAGATTTTAAAAGTTGTCTTCCTTGCCCTGCTGCTTCTATTCCCTATTCTATGTACCATAATCATACCATAAAATTTGGTATTAAAGCATACCTATCAATGAAAAATTCTCTCTGTCCAAAGTCTTGTTCTCTATTTTTTTTCATCAAGGACTAAAATTGGACAGTTCTGGTTTGTTGTGGCTTTTATATGAATTTTATAGTTGTTTTATATAATTTCTTCATGCTAGAAAAAAAGGAAGACAGGTAGGATTTTTATGACAGAAGAGACCGTATTGGTCTCTTATGCCATAAGCCTTTCTCCCTGCCTGTCAAAATTTATGTACACACATGTTCTGCTCGGCATGCAGTTATAGCACCTCTCTATGGTGTGATGGTGAAACTCCAGTGTACATGTGCAGGCAGGGACAGACTGACAACTCATGGGGCCCCCGGGCAATAGGGGATCATGGGGCCCCTGTGTCCTTGCCCAAACTCAAAAAAGCCTATGAAAAAGGTACCAGGGGCATCTCATGCGGCCCCCTACTGACCCCTGGCCCTCAGGCAGTGCCCGAGTTTCCAAATGGTCAGTCCGCCTCTGTGTGCATGAGTGACGTCATCCAGGGCTGGTGCAAGGATTTTTGTCTACACAGACAAAGGTGCATTTTGCTAATTTAAAAAATCCTACTCAAAATATACTAACTTATTACCTTATTGATCCTGACCTTTAACCTTTACCTTGACCCTAACACTGACCCTGGCACTGACCTAGATCAAGCATTGATTTTTTTTTTTTTTTGTCTGTTTACATCTTTCTCCCCCTGGCAGGGAGGAACAGGAGAGCTCCAAACAAACGCAGGAAGCACCTACTCAGTACTGTATAAGTGATTGCTGGTATCTACAACCACCCAGATCACTTCAGCTAAAAAGCTGGTCAGTGGCAAAGAACGATGATGGTACAAAGCTCATGACTGTAGCTTCTTTGTAAATAGGAACATGTAACAAATATACAGTAGGTATTATCCCAGTTTGGCTTCAAAAGTGGAAGTACACTTTAACGCTTTCCACTTTCTGAACTGACAATAAAAAGATAATTCCACCACGTAGATTACATGAATATTCATAGGATACATGCATGTCTGTCATACATACAGTGTTTGGATTATGAATGCCATTTCATGTTTATGGTCATTTTTAATATAAATAACATATTCACATCACATCACTGAATAATATAAGTGCACATAGCAGCAATCGATGTCAAATCTTTAATGGACAACACTAGCAAATGCAATGAAGTAAAAACAAGGACATTCACTCCGGCAGCACCATAGAAGCTTTTTAATTATGGTTTTTCTGCAACTTGTTTCAAGTCTCATTCTCCCAGAGGACAATTCTAAATAATTAGGAAACCAACACAAGGTAAAAACTATTATTTACAATATCTTACATGTGATATTCTAAATGCTGCAATAGTTTGTGTGTTCTTTTCTACCAGTTGCAAATTAAAATAAAAAAATAAAATAAATTAAAAGTCCACCCACAGTCACGAGGCTGATTTTAATCAGTTTTTCTTAGAGTTTGGCAAGTACAAGAAATTTCTCTTCTTCTTTTTATCTGATTTTATAAATCACAATACTTTTAAGAGGCTGGCATTAGATCAATGCTACATCTGCCTGTAGTAAAACTTAACTAGTTGCTTTCTGAAGGTAATGTGAATGTGCATTGTTCTGTGAACTACCTTATGCCCAATTGAACTTTCAGTATAAATTTGCCAAATTCAAGGTACATTAACAAAAAAAGAGTGTTTAAAGTCCTACAGTTTGTTTTGTTTAAAAAACAGGCACAGTTTGTCCAAAAACCTGCCCCCCCCCATCATGCTGCAGAGTTGGACCCTTGCTGAGTTTAAACCAGAGCTTTCCAATCAGCATAAACATAGGCTTTGCTGATTGAAAAGCTGCAGGTCTGACTGAGTAGGGGGGGTGTTAGACCTCTGCATTTAAACCACTGCTTCCCAACAGAGAGCAAAGGTCCCACTCAGCAGCATGCTGGCAGGGAACAGGCTATCATGCTCAGGCTGTGACCACTTTAGAAAGCAAATGAACTGTAAGACATTGAATGCCTTTTGTTTCAATGCACCTGGAATGGTTCATAGAATACACAGTGTTCATTGAATGATGAAGAGGAGAAAGGGGCAGAAGAACCACAAAACTGAAGGTTATGCCAAAACAGATATAATGGTAATTTGTCATGATAAAAATATGTAGGCTGCCCGGGGGGCGGACTAACTATTTGGAAACTCAGGCACTGCCCGAGGGCCCGGGGTCAGTAGGGGGCCCCATGAGATGCCCCTGGTACCTTTTTCATAGGCTTTTTTGAGTTTGGGCAAGGATACAGGGACCACATGATCCCCTATTGCCCGGGGGCCCCATGAGTTGTCAGTCCGCCCCTGAGGCTGCCATTGCTTCCTAAAATGCTTATTGCCCAATTGTTGTGACAGTCCCCTAATGTCATTTCCTTTATAGTACCTTGTAAATATGGAGGTCAGGTGCTTTGATTTCATTTACTTGTTCCAGGTCACAGAGTATTGAAGCCAGAAAAGGTAGGTAACTAGCATAGGTAGAAGGAGGCCAATACGGTCTGTTTATATACTGTAATTCATTTATAACAATTTTTATTTTATTTAGGCTATTTGAGTCTTTATTAGCCACTTTAAGTCTGGACACTTTACCCCCTTCCTGTCCAGGCCGATTTTCAGCTTTCAGTGCTATCACACTTTGAACGACAATTGCACGGTCATGCAACACTGTACCCATATGAATTTTTTAGCATTTTTTTGAGACAGATAAAAATTTATTTTGGTGGTATTTATTCACCACTGGGATTTTTATTTTTTTGCTATATAAATGAAAAAGTCCAAACATTTTGAAAAAAAAAGTGTTTTTCTTATACAAGTTTGCAAATAAATAATCTTTCTTCATAAATCTTGGCCAAAATGTATTCAGCTATCTTTTTAGTAAAAAAAAAAAAATAACCCAAATTAGTTTATAACCAAAAATTATAATTTTTCAAAAATTGTTTTTACATTTTTATTTTTTTTTTATATTATTATTTATGTTTTTTTTTTTTTTTAACATACTGTTACCCTAGCAGTACAGTGTCACCATAGTGACACTATACTACTTGTGGGGTGTGATGAAGATTTTTTTTTTATACACTGATTGCTTTTACACCCATAAAGGCTGTAAAAGCAATCATTTCTCATTCTCCTGCATTCTTGCAACCATTGAGAAATACTGTGAGAGCTGTGATTGGTCACAGCTTGTCACATGGTACAAGGCTGTTGTGAATAGCTTTGTACCATGTGACCTCTGTGGTCATTCACAGATTTCACTAGTAGTAAGCAATGATGTCAGGAAGTGACATCTTGCTTACTACTATTCATGTGGTCACTGATTGGCCAATCAGTGATCACATGATCGGGACCTCACACAGAGGTCCTGTATAGCGATCGGTGTTCCGCTTTGTCCTCTGGACACAGCGAGCACCAGGGAATGCGGGAGGACGTTTAGAAACGGGCACCTGCTCCTTCACTGCTCCCGTCCGACCGTTTATGTACATGGGCCAGATGGGAAGTGGTTAAATTGAGACTGTATTCAAGTCTTGCTTGAAAGTGAAGCCAAGGAGCATGCTATTATGTTTGTTTGTCAAAAAGGTTATTTTTGCTCCTTTATTACTGGTTTTAAACTTGTTACTGCCTTTAAGGCTACAATAGTAATAATATTTGGGCAAACCTTTTCCCACCTGCCAATCCCCTTTCTGAAAGCACTTCCCAATGTACACAAAGACTGGCCTCATTGAAAAGGGGATAGGTGGATCCTTAACTTCAGAGAGAGAGCTTATTCCAGAAGTCAGGAAAATGGAAACTATAGTAACAAAAGCAAACTTAGTTTAACAGTCTTACATAGAAAATGTTTTTGTGTCCAAGTTGATGAGTCGAAACATTGTTGATGTCTGATCTCGGCAAGGAATTTTACTTTTAAAATTTTGAGGGCTGACAAATTCACTTTCCACAATGTACTGTTTAAGAACAAGATATTCTGGGAAGTAACAATTTACATGTACCTCGTTAAAAATCAGGCAGGACTTCCAACTAAACCTACATGACATTCTTATGAGCTGTAAGATTTGATTTAAAATGACAGTTCTAGAGGACTTGAGGTAATGGGACCATCAGTCAAACATTAACCACATAAGATGATTAGTTCAGTTCCATAGCTTCTGACTGTGGTACAGATAGCTCTAAAAAGCCACCAGCAACACATTTCAAGGATTAACGTCCTCTCTTGGTACCCCTGTAAATGTATTTGTTTTCAAATGATTACTATAATGAATAAACTTGTCTAGACTGTCAAGAATATCTTGATGCTTTCTTCTTCTACACGAGACATTGCTCCAGGGACAGAGTCCGGGCTCTATCTACACTTAACGTCTCTTATTTGTGCTCTATTGGTCTGTTAAAGGATAAGTTCACCTTTGGGACATG